ATGTTACGTTATGATTCTTTATTGTATTAATTTTACTGCTTTCTAATACGCTTTAATTTACACGGTTACTGTGATTGAAAGGAATTTCCCATATCACATCATTATCGTCGTATGCGAAGAAGCATACACTACGATTTTGAATATTTTTTAATATAAAAACAAAAAAAAAAAAAACAGATTACAGTACCTCAAAGCTATTCTGTTTTTGTTGTTATTTTCTATCATAGTCCTAGAAACAGAATTGGTTCGGATGAAGGCAATGTTGTTTTTTAAAAAATTAGGATTATTTCTAAAAGGAATTTATTGACATGTTCCAAAGGATTCTTGCTTTTTGAAAAGGACTCTTGAAATATCCATCAGAATTGTCTAGAAATATTTTTATGACATTTCAAAAAACATTAGCTTCAAAAGTTCATCTCAAGGAATAAGAATTTTAATGTTAGTAGTAGTTCACTTGTAAAAAAATTCAATCGAAGCATTGTTTTAAAACGCGTTCCATAACAATATAGTACAGAAATGGTCTTTAAAATAAACTATTTTTCAGGTCGATGATCAAATAGCATTAATTTATACATCCTGGGCACCAATTCACGTTCTTGATTTCACATTTCATATTCTTCACAGTCATTTGCCTATTTCTATACAATTTGGCAATAGTCCGTTAGTTTTCATTCAATATTGCAAACATTAATATAAACCTATTGCCAAACTTGAAAAGACTCGAAGAAGTTCTGCCCAAGCTTTCTGAATTTAAAAAATTCTAATTTTATCCTAAGTTCCTCCCTGGAAATAGTAATCGAGGTGGAAACTTGGCGCTGTTATAGTAAATTTTTATAGATTACCTGTGTCAACTATTTGTTTAATGGGTTTTGATACATTGGCACCGAAGTTCAATGAATTATGCAGTAAATTACAGTCACTGAATTTCGATCGCTGTGATTATGCAGCATTTAAAGTGTTAACACTCTTCGAAGATCGAGGTTTACTTTCAACTTTTATCGGCTGTAAAACAATCCAATTCATTTTCTATTAAACATCATTAAAGAGCGCCACTTGTACTTTCGGGTTGCATTTACGAAATACGGTAGAGGCAAAGAATATCTCTACTGCTTAATAATATTCTAATTTTAGATACTGATTTTGAATGGATAGGTTATCATAACTGAGGTTAAGAACTAGCAGTAGTCATTCAGCTTAAGCCCACTATTCCAGATAACGAATAATTCAGTTCGCTAGCCATCAAATCACTCGAGATTGCCCATATAAGTAGAAATAATAGCTCTCTTTTCTGTCTTGACTCCACATGAAGCAAGTTTTGCAACTTTTTTTGTGTACATTCTTGTCATGCTTGCATATTGTATAGAAACGTCTTACTACAACTATAGATTAAATACAAAGGTATGCAAATTACAGGTGAACGAAGTGCAGTAAACAACTGCGCTTTGACAGCTCAAGTTCACGCATCGGTACTCACAGCGTGGGCAGCGTATCGTTCCGTTCCCAATGCTACCGATCATCCTTTATACGTTGTTTATGAGGAATTGAAGTAAGTTTATTCAGGAAAAATAAAAAATAGAATTTGAAGAAAGTTGAGACAGTCATCTTCTTCCTATCATCAATGATTAAGGAACTGTTTCCTGAATGAAATTCAGTGTAAAGATGGCATGATATAATTTTATAAATCGCTAAAATACTCTGAGACTGGTTGCTGGACTTATATAGTCTTAAGAGAGTAGCTTTTGCGATGGGCACCACATTCGCTTCTCAAGGTTGTGAAGGAGGATTATTTCTGTGCTCTTGAAAATAAAGCACTCACTACAGTGCCTGAAGAAAGCGATATATAGTGCTAAAAGTACTTGAATTTTTGCGATATTCGAGCACTATTCTACTTGAGCATGATGAGCTGTATCGCCCTTTGACCTCTCTAATTAGTAGCGCGGTACCGATTATTTTTGACACATGCCAAAACCAGCAATTATCATCTTCTCACTTTGTGAGACCTACGATATTATGGAAGTGATTGAAAGCTTGAGAACTTTACTACCATCGTTATGCACTTTTCACATATTACTACAGGGGTTTAGAAAAGAGAAAAGAACTATCATATATATATATATATATATATATATATATATATATATATATATATATATATATATATATATATTATTCTTATGACAAATTCTTGGAGCAGATCATATCTCATATCAAAAAATAAATTAATATATCTCTGGACCTTATTTGAATCACTGAAAAATCATTCTTTTTAAGAAGTTCTTCTGAAATGCACTAAAAATAATTTCTGTAATGATATTACACATTACCGCTAAATGGTTTGATAAAAATCTCCTTCTCTTCTGTTCAGTCTTGTAACAAATTTATTTTCATTTCAAATTTGTAAAAGTTTCAGACTTCTTGCACGTCAGGCAGCTCATTTGCTCAGCAAATATTCGACAGTGGGAATGGAAGAAAATTTGCTGAAAGAAATGTTAACACGCAAAGAACACCATTTAGTATCTCAGCAACCACCATCATCAATACTACCACCACCGCAACAATATGCATAATTAGAAACTGAATCAAATGTGCGCACTTGTCTTGTCCTCGCTTCCTCTAAATTGTGGTTTTTTTATCGAAAAGCTTGTCCCCCCGAAATTCCAGAAAACAAAAACCTTTAACCAAATTTCTTTCATTGCTGAGTGTTTCTTCTCCGTCATTTTTTCAATTCCTACAAATTTGCACAAATGTATCTGAAAGCATTTATCACCTCCTCATCCATTTTATAAAGTGCGTACAACTGATCTCGTTAGGAAACTCGGGTGCGGCAATTCCGCAGTAAATTAGCAGGGAGCCGCCGTGGATGCAATCAACGAAAATCCACAACATATAGAAGAAACAGTAATTTAATCCAACTCATTCCAACTTATCATATTTCATTCAGTTTTGTTCCAGTTAAAATTTTTTTAGTCAGTCGTGTTCCATTCAGTTCTACTTCAAATCAATTCAAGTACGGGCCGTTAAAGGCTTTGTCCAGTAAATTCATTCAGGCTAGTATTTCGTTCAGCATTTTGTTGAATTTATTTCCTGTTTAAATATCTCATTCAGTATTATTCAAGTTTGTGGGCTTTTTTGCTTTTATAGTATCAGTTTTGCCTGATATCAGTATTCCTACTCCATAAATTTTGTTCCTTATTTTTACGAGAATCCTAAAAAATGAGTCTTGACTTTTGCTTTAATTAATAGATTTTGGAAAAGCTATAAAAAACAGGAGAATACGCGGGAATAATGACCGTAATTTATCATCATTTACCTTTAAAAATATTAACATCTACACTTTTTACCCCTTCTATTTTTTATATTTAACATCTTTTGAATTACATGATTTTTTGTCGAAATCTTGTAGTTTGTAACATATCTTGTCCTTCCTGATTTCTGATCGCCTCATTCATGCACTACCAGTACCGTTCCTGCATACTGCATACATTCCAATACACCGCCACTTCCTTTACTGTTATTACTGTTGTTGTTTTCTTTTATACAAATACCACCTTCTGCGAATCCTTTTCGACTTTTTTAGCTTTATTAATGACTCAAGGAAGACAAAGAAAAGATGTTGACTCAGATTTAGCAAGAGTCGAATTTTTAAATTATTATTTATAAATGTATGTAATTTTGGGTTTAAATGCCAACTATTACTTTGATTGCTATCCATTATTTACATTACTGGTATTTCGCTGCTGTTGTTATTTCTAGCTTTGCCTTTTTGCTTTCTGACCTTTTTAGTAACATTGAAAAAAATGAATCGTTGATGAAGTGAAGTACAACTAAATTTCGATTTTATTGACATTCGAGTAATTTTCTCCACACATGTTGATAATATATCACCTTTTAGTCGCAGATTTTTTTTTTAGTGCACTAATAATACCAGGAAATTAACTTAGAATGCAAAAAGAGTTAAAATTTAAGTGGGGTATTTTATAAAAAGAGTTACCGCTTACTTATTTTTCCAAAGTAAGTGAGATACAAACATTTTTTAGCGGATGTCACTAATTTATGTGAAACTTTAGATCTAGCAGTTCTCAGTGTATTACAAAAAGTTAGCTTGTTTTACCTCTTTTGATACCGTTCGAACGCCAACGATTTTTGTAATTTCATCCATTCTTTTACGTCTCTAGCTTTTTTCCAAAAAATTTTTGTATAAGTTTCCATCAGTAAAGTGGACTAGTTAATTTTCTAAAACTCGATCGTATTATCTAAGTATTTTTGCAGTTTTGAGAACTCGTCGAGTGATTTTTTTTCCAAACAATATTCCACATTGCTTGAAAATGATTATTAAGAAAAATTAGCGTAAATGAATACTTGCCACAACTAAACCAAAGTTTAAGTTTTATTAAATACTTAATAATCAATTACTGCGATTTAACGCATAATAATTAAGAAAAAATCATCTACACTCCTTTATTAAAGCTGTAGTATCAATGAACAAGTGTACGCTCCAAAAAATTTAGTCTTATTTGAGCAATAAAAAAGTTACTATCATAGTTTGTTTGTTTAGTAAGTTTTCCTTCAAAAATGCTATAAATTACAATTTTTAACAACAGTTGTTATTGTTGGTAAAGTAAATTTTATTTAAAAATTTGTTTCTGTTCTGAATTAGTCACTTCCTGAGCATCGTCAACACCGGTCGCATGCATCTTACACCCATCTATATCTGATACCAGAGTTTTCTACGGCACGATCCGGAATGAGTGCAGCAAATCAAGGAATGCCATCCGAAATTGATCATTCAGTAAGGTATACAAGCATGGATTCCATATCGTTGAACTGTGAACAGTAAAATCAAAGTTTGAAATGTATGCCTAATATGAATATATGAACTATTAATGAGGAAATTAACAGGAAGTAAAAGATACCTCATTGAAATGCAATGTGTTATAATACCAATCAAATATTCTTGCTGACTGATGAAATTTGGTAACCAGTGGTAATCTCTAAGGAAATTAAAGACAACAGCTGGCATCCAACAGCAAACAAACACGCCAACCATTGCAATTAACATACGATTCGTACGTAAACGTCGTTTTAGTACTTGTTGTCGGTAAAACGTTTGTTTCTTGAATAAGGTTGTCTAAAATTAAAAATAGTTATTAAAAATTGATAAACCGAGAAAAAATAGAACAAGACTGCAAATTACATGAAGGTTAAGTATGATAGTTTTGTTTGAAAACTAGAACTCTTTCATCATTAAAATATTTTCTCAGCTTTCTTTCTACTTCTTACAAGACATTTAGTTGGTTATTGATGAAATTTTTTGTCTTAAACATGACGGCTTCTGAAATGTGATAAAATTTGTCTTTTATTTCACTCATCCAAAGATGTTTCTGCCCAGTCCTTCAAAAGTGGTCACTTATAAGAGGAATTGACCGTAAATTTAACTGAAACGAAAATTAAACTAACTTTAGTAAGTTTTAATGAAATCATTGTATAGCAAAAGAAAATTATAGTAAGTGGTGCAACGAATTGAAAAATGAATACAACCGTTCCTGAAACTTTTAAAATTTTTGCTTGGTATTTGCAACTTTACTTTGAACAGACGCTAAAATTATCAGCAGCATTGGCTTTTGAACCTGTTACAAGTAAATTTTGAAAATTGCTAAATGAATTATTGTTCTTACTGCGATTGTGCTGTCATTGTCCTCTGTCTTTGGCGAACAAATAATTAGAAAGTTAGATTGAGAGAGCAGAGCAAACAGCTTAGTAAATTATTTGCAAGATGCTACTGAAGTTTCTACAGTTCAGGCATTGATAACTTATCCCTTATGGTATGAAATGTTGTGAAAAGTCTTGAAGTTTCCCCTGCCAATAATTGCCAAAAGTATAATAATAAACCATAAATACTGCGGCCCATGTTATCAGAGCTCCAATCTTCGGTGCAAAATTGGCCACAAAAATTCTCGTATTTGATAAATCTTTGCTTAATGAACATAGGCAACGATATCGCTGTTGCCAAAGCAAAATCCAGACCAATTATTTTTATTGCTTGCCGTTTTTGAATTGGTCTACAAAATGTCATAATACTCGTAAATGCAAGAAATAAAACATTATGAAGTTTTTCAAGATACAAATTGCTCTCTTGTCTTATAAGACATTCGAATTATCATATATCATTTCTCTTTCATCTTTTCATGTCATTTTTTTGTCAATTTTAAAACCTTTCTTTTATGCTTTTCTTCTTTCTGACTTTAAAAATTCTTGCTTCGAGCTTCATCTCTTCTATCAACATAACTCTTCCTTACACCTTTGCTAGCTTCTTTTCATTTGAAAATATTAGTTTTTATCTGAAATTATGGTGCGACCACTGGCATTTATTATAAAACTATTTCCTTAGCACCTTACAGACAGTTAGAAATGAAAACAACCTATTTAGAAGAAAATAAGAAGTAGATGCAATTGTTAGAATTTCAAGAAGCAGAAACTTTCAAGCCTGTTAGGTTTAATATAAGACCAAAACCCGACAAATCTTGCTAAAAAAACTTTTGAAAAAATCTTTGAAGCTTGTTTTCGTGGTGATGGCAAAATAGAGATTGTATCATTTATTCAGTCTAGGAGACTTTGCTTGCTAACAGTTAAAAAAAGGAAATTAACAGATAGTTATAAGTGACCTTCTGAGCTTTGTTGAGTAACAATAATTTAGTGATTTTGAATCCTTCTTCTACTATTTGCTTTTGCAGTTTTTAAAAATTTTTAAGAACTCTCTCCAAAAAGAAGAAAAAATTATTTCATTTGACTCCAAAAAAATATTTTTTTTTATACATATATTTTTTTTTTATACAAAAAATATTTCAAAAAATATTTTTCTACCAAGTGGGAAATAAGAATTATACATATGTTAAAGCATTCAGATCTTAGTGCTCTCCATTTCATTTTTGATAAGAATTAATGTGTTATTCGTTTCGAAATTTATTCAAGATAACAATATACGAAAATTTCTTGAATTGCCAATTTGTGGTAATACAAAGGATTTGTTTTTTTCAGCAAATGAGAAGAAAGGATTGGAAAGAGAATGCAAAAATTCAATTTTCTTATTTTCTTTAATGAAATTAATTAGGTAGTGGTAGGGCAATTAAATTAGCAATGTCTAATTTGAAACAAACAAAAAGTTTAACTGTTTATTATCACTTATGATAAAGAATAGCTTTGGAGGAAAAATCAGAAATATCGAGGAAAAGACAGATAAAAGCTTTGAATTGTTGCTGAAGAAGTTAAAGCAATAAAAAGATTTCATTTAAAAGCTATAAATGATATTTCTTGAGATAATGGAAGTAGAGCAGTAATATTGCTTTGAATCGAGAATAAATTAGTTAAGCTAGTGGTTATTTCTTTTCCGGTTCTCTCAGAGGAAAAAGCGACATACATTGTTAAAAGAAGTGTATGAATTGACTTTGCAATTTAATTAAATTGAATTCAGCAAAAGAATTCGTGATAGGATCGCCTCTATGGTTATAACTAAATGTTTTTATTTCCATTTTTAAAAATTTAAGCACCAAACGAATAAAAGTGAAACATTTAATAAGGTATCATAATAAGTAGAAAATTGTTCGAGTTTCGTTAATATTCTCATTTTTATAAAGTTACTGCAAAATTGCTTACCTTTTTGTAGGAAAAATAATTAAAATATAACGATCAATAGCTATAGCAGTGAGAGTTAATGAAGAAAAGCATAAACTTGCACCCTGAAAGCATCGGAATTTATCGTAGAAAAGATTTTGGAATGAACAAAGTCTCATATCAATTATTGCTCTTTATTTAATAACTGAATTCAAATTTCGTCCAAGAATGATTTGAATTTCATGACAGAAAAAGACAAGTATATAAATAATCGAATGGACGTAAAGAATCGAAACTGACTTGTATTAAAGGTATGAAGTAACAAAGCAATTCACCAAAAATCCATATTTTGCTAAAGGCTGTAATTGGTGTTACTGTTCCGGAAACAATCGAAATGATTATATCTGTCACTGATAGGCTGATAATAAACAGATTACGAACTGACTGTAGTGATTTGTGTCGTATCAATGATAATATAACTAATGTATTACCAAGAACACCAAATCTGGAAACTGCTAGATTATGAATTTATATGTTGAAAAAGTACACTGGAAGAAATCAAAAAATGAACTACTTCGTAAAACACTGTTGTTGTCAATAACTTTTGCATGATCTTGCTAATAAGAATGATCAGAGATTCGTTATTGGTATTTTCAATTTTTAAAAATTATATTTTAACAGGAAGGAATCCTTCGCTATTTCAGCTATTATACTGTTATTTCATTTTAATTCTCGACTTGAGCTTTGAAGTAAGGAAACATGGAACAATATGAAAATTGAAAACTTTCCACAATTTTTGTAAGAATTGTATGACTTAAAAATAAAATTTAAACTTAAAATGCTCCACTGAATTTTTTTTTTTTAAAAACTAACATGATAATAAGTCCGTAGATGGCAAAAAAAAAGATCATTGTTGGTAATAAAGACGTTAAGTCGGAATGATTCATCCAAAGATATTCGTTGATATCAACACACGGAGTTTGGGTAGCACTTTTATTGCTGATAATGAAACTACTATTAGCGGACATTCCGAACAAGAATTCCGCTTCTATTGCTCATCCAACAAAATAGTTTCTTTCACTGCTTATTATTGTATCCGACAGCTTAAAATTTACTTCTTCTTGAAATAAATTTCAGAATATCGCCTCGAAAAAAGGTTCGCGATATAATGTAAAGAATCTTATTTAGGGATTAGTAGTGGATATGCGAATTTGACTGGGACTTAAATCATAGAAGATTTCAGAATATTCTTTTGGAAGAGAGACGTGTCATCATCGATTGGTCACTTCTTCGCGGAACAGCGTAAGTAATTTCTGACTACTGTGGATATTTTCAGTCGAATGATATATGTGATAGAATGTATTTATTTAACTTTACAACTGAACTGGCTAGCCTTAGCCAACGCTATTGAATAGCGATAGAAAAAAAGAGAAAAAACGGATATCATGAATTTTTCCCTTGTCTACTACGAGAGACTGTCGTTTAGATATGCGTGGAAAAGCTTAAGACAAGAATTAAGCATCAGTTCCTAGGCGCTTAAAAAGTTAAAAAAAGTTTTAACACTTTTAATATTAATTAAGGGCTGAAGATTCCACTGCTCGAATATTGAAGCATAAATTGTAAAGGACTTCTAGGAGACTTTCTGAATCTTTTTTCTAATCGGAGAAAACGTTTTTCTCCATTCAGTGACCTAAACTACTGGGAATTCCTCATGTACAGAATATAATCCATAGATTCTAACCGTTATAATCATTGAATATTTGACGAATTAGGTATTATCGCATCAACTATCACTTCTGCAAATAAAAAAATCATTTAGACTGCACAAAAAGCAGTTTAAATGAATTTTCACTTCGGTAAATAGATGTATGAATCGATACACATTCTAAAAGCAGTAGTATAGGTTTGCGAAGGAGAAAAGATGAAGAGATAGCGAAGTTGGTTGGTTTTGCGATTTCAGTACAAAACAAAAATAAACTTTGATTGTTGCATGTGATGCGAACTATGTATTAAAAATCCTAAAGCATTGGGACAACTTTTGCAAAGACTGAATTTATTTGCAAAATCCTTCTCGGATGATAGTATCTCCTCTTCAACAGTGCAGTATTGTCATATATCTGTTGCAACCTTGAAATAACTGGTGAACAATCATAAGCATTAAATGAAGTATAAGTAGTGATTGCAAACGATAAAAAATATATTTTAATAAAAGTCAATAATACATCCTTTGTTTTGGAATGATCTTCTACTTATTATTTACCTGGCCAGTGTAACACCTACAAATGAATTCTTATTAACTCTTTACATAATTCTAAAGTTGTTTTTTCGAAACTAAATTGTTTAACTACAACATTTGTTGTTATAAATTACATTTGAAATGACTGCTATTAATATTGCAGTTTTTCACTCTTATGAGAATCTCAAACAAATCTCAATATACTAATTCTTCAAATTTTAATATAACTTCAAATTCGCCAGCAGCAAATTGAAACCATTTGAGAAGGCAAGATTGTTTTACACTTCATCACCTACTCAATTTTTTTCTTTTTACAAATACAATAGTTAGTAAACGGAGAATCCGGATATCCCTCTCAGAAAATGGGAACAGACTAACAGGCATTTATTTAAAAGTTGAAAGCAAGAAATGAGAACAGAATACAGCTGAATTAAACAGAGACTTGCGATGACGTGGAAATTCGGGAAATTAAAAATTTATCTTGAAATCGTCAGCTATTTTACTTACCATCTTTTGAATGTTTTTCATCTTCCACTAATTCAGTAAAGGCTTCATTAGCTGAAAACATTTGACAACAGGAATTATATGTAAAGTGAGCAAAGAATATTTTAAGCGAAAAACTGATTTTATTTTATTTTAAATTTCATACTGCTTTAAATGTAACAGCCAATCGAACAATCAGCAAACATGAAAGATGATAAAACATAAAAAATAGATAATTGTTAAATAGAGAAAAAATGAGGAAGAATTGAATTTAGTAAAATTCCTATATTGAAAGGAAGAGAAGTTCTACTTTGATTATGTTAACAGTTTATCTTTGTTTACTTTGTTGTTCTCAGGTGATTACCGAAGTCACGCCTAGCAGTTTCAACAAAAGGCGCAGTGCATACCCAAAGACGGCTGATTTTTCTTCCTATTCCTCAAATTTCATAGGAAAAATAATTTTACAATTTAAATTTCTATTGCAACCCCAATATTTCTAATATCCTAATTTTCCGAAATGATGGTGCTGAATCGTTTTCCAATCTGTTTTTTAAATTTGTTTTACTTGTCTCACATATTTTTCCAAAACCTTATTAAGATTATTGAAATATCCTTTAGAAATAGCTCTATGACACATAAATGCAACACTGCCATTTGGATAAATACATTGGAATTGAAGTTTTCGAGATTTAGATGTTTTAAATTTTGTCAATTTTCTTACATTTTCAAAAAGTAATAAAGCAGCAATTGTCATCGTTGTTAATTTTTTGTTTAAAAATAGTATTGATTATTACTACTAATTACAGTCTGTGCGCTAATAATTACAGTTATCGAAAAAAAATTACTGCCGTGGTTGATCAAGATTGAAAGACTGTTTTACAATATAAGATTCCTTTAGAAAACAGGAATGACAACCTTAAGAAATACTTCTGACATAATTAGGAAGCGGAAATCCAAAAATCCTATTTCACCATTCAGTTTGAAGACGAAGAAACTTATCACTACTGTTATCACCACCACAGTTTAAACATGAAATAAGCTACAATCAATAGAAAAGTACTAGAAATGAGTTTTGGAAATAAATCTAGTAAATTCTAAAAGGAACGAGAAAGCGCCTTCAATGAGGCGTAAATTTAACAAATTCTAAAAGCAATGCAGAGAACGCTTTCATTTCCAGCCCGTTTTTAATAGCCGTAGAGTAATTAATAAACTTACATTTTTTTTTTTTTTTTTTTACAAAATACATTACAAAAAAGTTTTAAAATTACAATTTTCACAATGTTAAATTTACAATGTTTTGCAGTCATAGCTAACTTATGGGTCTAAAAAGCTTAGAATTATTTCTCTGTTAAGGTTGTGATCATGACATAAATCATTACCTATGGACATCTGTTGTGACAGCTCTGAAGACTCTTCCGTGGCGTCATCTCAATTGAAAATAAATTAATGAGTTCTTTGTTAAATTCTTATACTGCAATAAGCGGTGATGACCTCGTAGTTTACCTAAAGTCCGATATATCTTGCTTTGAAAATTTCCTCGAAATGATAACTAAAGATTTGAAAAAATATTGAAAAATCGAAATATGAGTTTTAGTCTTAATTTTTAGTTTTATGAGATCGAAATATGAATGATCTGACATAAGGCGCAATTCATTGTGCTATGTCCGAAGCGCAAATAAAAGAATAAATAGGACAAAAGAAGATGTACTGCTCATTTTCGAGTGTATTTGCAGAAATTAATGAGAGGATTAGTTAAAACATATGAAAAAATCCAAAAAAAAAAAAAAAATCATTTTTATTATTTGAGTTTCGCTTCATCTTGCGCGCTTCGCTTATTGCTTTTTGAAAGTGTCAAAAGCCCAATTTCTAATCATTTGTTAAAGATTATATGCTTGATTAGCATTCATGTGAATTCCTATTTGAAAAGCTTTAAAAAGAAAGAATTGGCTTCAGAAACAGCAAACTCCAAAGTAAAATTGCAAAGATAGAGCAATGTGCTACCTTTGAGATATTTTGTTTCTCGGTCATTTCCAAATGTGAAGCCGTTCTTTCTATCTTTTTAACAAAAGAGGTGGATTAATTCAAATCTTGCTAACTTGTGCGAGTGGAAAGGAAATAAGTCAATAAACTGGTAGAAAATGGAAAGAAGATGAATTGAGCCTGATTTTGCTTTTTAAAGTGAGACAGATTATCACTTACAGAGTCGTGAAAAAAACAGATGTACGACCATAAAAGATAAATGGTATTGTTATGTATAGGACAAGTGCACCCAATGATTATTGTCACTTTAAAATTCCCGTAAGTTTTGCTAATCTTTTGGGAAGAAAAATAAAATTCCATGGTCTTTCATCTCAAAATTTGAAAAAAAAAATCTATGGAATTATGGTCTAACCTAAAAGTGCAGTATTTATGGATAGTTAGTAATGCTGGATCCTAATTTTGCTTTAATGAAATTAAAATTAAATTATACTAGTGGAAATGGTAAGAAAAATAATGTAATAGTTTGCTGAATTAGATTTGCTATTAAAGAAAATGGCATTAGGGAAGTAACAAACATTTAATAAATAAGGAAACATGTCAGAGTATGACTTTTGACATGATTAATCTGTATCACTCATCACTTTATATTTGTGATAACTAATTTATTCATTTCCAGTTCGATCATTCATTTCTATCACCAGTGCACTACAACATTTGGAGTTTTGAGATGATGATATTATTGTGAAATCAGTAAAAATATGCATTGCAAACTGGTCCTCTTCTCATCATTTTATTGTTTTATTATAACTAGCTTAATTAATATATTGTATATTAAATTTGATTAATCATCTACTCACCAGCTTTATGCCTTTCTCAAAACTTTCTCCCAGAACAACTTTTCCACAAAAGATACGTAGTTTTTTTACAACAATGATTTTCAAGTAGTTTCATCTTTTTTTTTTTTTACTTCATTTAAAAAATGAAATTCGAATTAGTGATAGATGAATAAGTCTAGATATCCTTACACGATTCTAATATAACGAAAAAACTTCCATGTAATTTTTCTTTTTTATGTTGTTTTTTCTGAATTGAAAACTAAGAATTATTGTTTAACTTCATTATCTTATAACTTACTGTTACAACTCATTTCTTTTCGTAATGAAAAAAGACACTAAACTACTTTATTTCTTATTTGGAGGGATTCAAACAATATACTTCATTCAGTTTGTCTTCAGCAAATTGATATGTTCTCAGGTTAGATCGTTTGCTGCTACAGAACAGTTAACAGTAAAAAGAGGATGATGCCTTATTGTTTGAAATACGAACAAAGTGACATTATCTGTTCGCATAAGATTTCCCCAACAGTGCAGTATCAGCACAAAATCTCGCAAAAGTTTGTCTTATATGCAAGTTAAGACAAAGATATACTTTTACTTCAAAAATAGATCATTGAATTAAGCATTTCAGATCAAAATACGAAATAAGCGGAATCTTTTTAAACTAACAAACAGTGCGTCTATACTGTCAAAAGTCATCTACATAAGACGAGGAACGGCAATGCTGTATTTGTGTTTCAGTTTTAATATGTGTAATCCAAATCAAATAGTAAAGTTGAAGAGCCAGTAAACATGATATCTATTTACCAAGTTTGATAAAAATATCATAAAGAAAGATATAATTAATAAACCATATGCCACAGATAATTCAAAAAGAACAAAAAGTTTTTTTTTTTGTTAATGATTCAACTAAACTAAAAATTGTTCATGATTTTCTTTGCAGTAAGGATTATTAGGTGCTTTTTTTTGTTACTGATTAGTTCTGCGGACGAAAATGGCAGAGAAACAAAACATTTCGTTTTAATGAATAATGACATTAAATTCCTAACATTCAAGATTCATGCCTTAAAAGTTAAAGGTGATGAAATTGAATCAACTGCTCACCAGAAACAGTTTTCTGAGCTGATTGCTTTGAAATGCGTTACTGTTAAAATAGTGCAATTAAATTTCGTCACATCATACTTTTAGAATGCCTTGCAATATTAAATATTCACTGATCATTGGGCTTTCAAACTTTAAAACTGGCATAACTATTGATAGTCAATTTAGAACTTTCATCTTTATCACAGATAAAAAAAAGATGAGATAAAGGACTAGGGAAGCCATTTTTTTGAGCATATACAAACATTTATTTGCTGATAGACGAAACATGTACTGCACTGATATTATAAAGTATATTATATGGTAGATAATACTACTGTGAGATTTATAAATTATTCAATGAATAATAGTAATCGCTAAAATCTTGTTTTATTTCTAGTAATATTTAAAAAATAATTAAATTAATTGTGTTATTAAAGAGAAAATTTTTTTTTTTTTTTTACGCCTGTGGTTATTTCTGTGCTGGTTTGATGACATTAAAACAGTCATTATGAATAAGCCATTTCCCGTTTACTTTCTTCCAAATTTGCAAGTAGGCACCCGATTCTGGTCCACGTGTACCATTTAGATGGTAACTTCCACGTTCAAAAGCCCAGTCACCAGCACCATTTACTTCTTCTGTTATTATCTGGAAATTTTAAGAAAAGAGTGAAACTGGAAAACTATGGGGCTTAGGAAACGTTATTCTGAAATTTTGCAGTCTTAAAATTCCGTTAACTTTTAAGGATTTGCTATTCCTATGTATGTGCTTCCACATTTTATTTTGTTAACAGAACAAAATCACTTTCTCTTTTACATTATCATTTTTCGAATTTCTTATATGCTTTAAATGAAATTCGATTGATTCCAGATTGGAAAACTCATGAATCTATTTGAAAAATGCATTAAATAATTCACCTGGCAACTTTTAACACCTTCCGACATATCCTGCTTGTAATACAATTCAATTCCTGAAATTCAAAATAAACGTTATTCTAACAAAACTTGGTCACATATTTTTTCTCAATGATACCCCAACATTATTAACTTTTACAACTTCTGCAAAAATGTTCGAAGACGCTTCAACGAAAAGTCTATTAGTCTCTCCGTGATTCCATTGCAAAAGTAGAAAGAACGATTCCACAGCCACAAATCAAATTTTCTGTCAACAAGTAACTTTATTAAATGTAAAATCTTCGGAGTCAGTCGAAATTCTTTCTCAAATGTTTTCACTTCCATATATTTGAAATTCGACTCTTCCGGATCGATTTAAATAAAGTACCTGCTCGTCCCTTAACGGGATCAATGCCATTGGGCATGAAGTAGCCCTCCGGGTCGTACAATGCAGCAGCACCTGCTGCATCACCTGAATTGAATGCTTTCATGAATTCCGCCTGACGTGACTTGATTTCTTGGAATAGGACTGCAATTTAAGTAGCGTTTTGAATAATGTGATGATTTAAAAAAGAGAAAGTTGTCCCATATAATTTATAATAATGATTGATAGGCTCGTGCAAATAGTAGCCATGACTCCAGTCTTGACTGTATGCTATTCTGTTGCATGGAAAACAAATTGCATTCTCTAAAAAACTTCATGATCTTAAATTTTTATTCTATTTAATTGTTAATGCTTAAAGATATAAGAGGTATTTACACAGCAAAAACCAAAAATGTTATGTATCAGTAGGAAATGTTACAGTTTATTTTGATTGAGTTTAATTTCCCATTTTAATTAATTGTTCACTGATTCATTCGTATCAAAATTTAGTAGGAAGGGCAGTCTTGGTAAGAAATGCTAATGTAATAAAAAAGTGTACTGCTTAAATACTTGAAATCTTAGGTAATTTCAAAATGTCTAAGGGATATGATGAGGGAAGGGAAGTAATATGGTGTTTAATGATATCTGCTTTAAATTGAAACTAATGTTTCAGATATTTTCTAACCTGATAGTTAAAAAAATGGGTAAAAGTGCCATAATAAAAATGCCATAAGAAGCAAACAGAAAACTCCATTACCCGGGTTCAGATTGTTGAGAATGATAGAACTGAGCGGTATATCACGAAAGAAGTTCATTGTAAATAAAAGGAAAACTAATCAAAATTAAATTACTACATACCACTCATATCAATCAATGATGCTGATGATTGTAGGAATGCTTCAGGAATTCTCCAAAAGGAAACGAAGTGGATGACAATTAAGGGAGCAAAGCTAGAGGTTTATTTGAAGTGGTTTGCTTTTGACAGCTTTTCTTCACTTCTTCAGAGATGATTGCTTATATAGCAGAATACGAAATAAGAAATAGGATGAAATTAAGCTTTGCGCTGCAGAAAATGGGGCGGAAGCTAAGCAGTCCTGACGGCAATAGTAGGGGTATAACTCATTCTTCGAAGCTTAACTAGAAGGAAAAGCTTGGTTTAGTTCTATTTATGAGGGAAATTTTTGAGAAATAATTATACTTGCAGCTGCACTTAAAAAGAAAATTGTTCATGTATTCATATGTTTGTCCAAGTTCATTATCACAAGATTTGGTCCTTGGGCCACATCAACAAAAAAAAAAGGTAATATATCATTTTGTCCAACCTCGTTTTCTTCTCGTGTTGTATTCGCCTATAAATGAGTATTGCTTAGCCTTCAATAAATTTTCTCGGCTTTCCTTTCTCAACTTCTTAGCATTCAGTAACACGTACAATCCTACTTTAGAAAAAAGAACTGAAGAATTTTATACAGCAAAATTTTAAAGATTTCAGCTATAACTTCTTCGTAAGCTTACAAAAGAAGCAATTGATTCTTATAACTAATGCTTTGAAAAAGAAGGAACTTCTACAAAAATGAATTCTTTCATCTACTCTAGATTTAAGGGTTGATAAAAAAAACCATAACAAATACATTTTCTTCATCAATATCATTTATTGGAATAAAGAGTCTCATACTGGCTCGATCCAAAAACGTGAAAAAAAATGCTTAATTGCGAACAATCCGACACATAGCAAATTGTAGACATATAATATCAAATCAAATGAATTAAAAGAAGAAATGCTCGGTTAATATGATAAAATTAGCCTTTCTCAGAATAGCACGTTGGTAAGACATTTTGCCTTATTAATATGCTGTTTGTAAATAAGAAAACAAAAACAAAAATACGTTACAAGCTACTAAATAAACATTGACGACACAGTGACTAATAAATAACATACAAATTTAGTTCCGTTGTAAACAAAATGAAGTGAACAGAAAAAAAAAAAACATAGATGTAATGTCGCCATAGGTTTTAACAGCCAGAATATATTTCAATGTCTTTTTGGCAAGCGACAAAAGAAGGTCAGTTTTAAAAAATTCTTATTAGATGTACATTGCTAAACTAGTTTAAAAAAACTAAGCAAATCCTAGTCCATAATTAAAATGAATTGGGAAATTAATTATGTTGTCTTAATTTTATTGCTGGTCTATTATGTATACTGAATAAGCGAAAAGTTAGTTCGATGATCAAAATGATCAAAAATAACCAAAATGGCACTGCTAGCCAGAACACTTGGATCATACCAAATTTTAATCGAATATAGAGCAGTACTTCGAAAATAATTTTGAAGACCAGTAATGCTGAAAAAAAAATGTGTTCTTATAAGAATATTCCATGGTTTTTTTTTTCTATGTACTTTAAAACAAATTCTTATCTCGATTTTAAAAATCTTGGTAAATAATTAAGACAAAATAGGCCATAATCTTGAAGCTATAAGTTATTACATGAAACAATCGCACAATACATTTTTTGCTGATTTAGAAAACTTCGCAAAGCTGCAAATCTTTTTTGAAAATTGTAAAATTACCAAATACGACAGCAGAAGCTCGTTTTTCCAGAGGATAAATGTATGTTGTCATCTGATACGGTGCATTCATATCGTATTGTCTTCGTCCTATACCACAAATCTGGTAGTGGCGCATTATTCTGACCACTGCAGCAGACAAAAAGAGGATGTCAAAAAATCCTAAAATCACAAAAAATATCGAGGGCTCGCCATCCAGACCACCATCCTGAAAAATTCTAATTCACTTTAAAACAGAATCCTGAATAACTCTCTAAAATTATTTAAATGTAGTGAAATAATGAATAACTAACTAAATAAACAACTAGAAAGACAAGAGCAAGCAAAAGCAACAGCCATACGAACAGCGCTTTGTGTCCCGTACCCATATAGCCCTTCGATGAGCACAGATCCATAAAAACCTATATCCGAATATAACACATTAAATTCTGAAAAAATGAAAAATAGATTATCCAGAAAATCACGGGTAACCTAGTAATTTTATTTTATATTCCTAATGAAATAGTACGAATAATAAAAGAAGTCAATACACACCAAAATTATTCTGTAATGCATCAAAGTTATTTTTTTTTTTTCAAAACAATTCCTCCGGTATGAATTCTTAAATTCATTTCTGCAATAGAATACAAATATTTAGAATGAACGTGCATTACATATATTTAACAAGGTTATCCAAAAAACTGCACAATGTAAATTTCTTTGATTTCATCGAACTGATAGCGTGACAATTGTGTTGTTGCAAAGAAATTAAAATTCAAGGAACTCCGAATGACCTCTAATTTATATTACACTCCTGAGACTGATAAAGCAGCAACAATTTCTGCACAGCATACTACCAAATTTTAGGAATTCTTTGCTACTAATTTAAACATATAATATTTATTAAGACTGCAAAAAACGAACAGAACTTAGAAGCCTGCAACTATTAATCTTTAAAATTACCATTTGACTCACATCTCAAGATTTGGTAATCCCTTAAGGCTTATATAATATCTAGAATCGCCTTCAACTTTCGCACAATAATCTAGTACAACTGTCGTTAAATTATGCTTTGAATCATCGCTCAAATTTCCTATCTTCTACCATGTAGGCAGTTAATCGTTTTTCAGTAACTGCGGCATATATGTAAGGAAAAAGAAAAAATGAATAGGTAAAAAATGGCGAATACGAGTTAGAGAACAGAATTACTTGTCCCCTGTTTTTTTTTTTTTTTTTTTTTTTTTTTTATTTCGCAATAAGCAGGAAATTTGAAAATGAAACATACGACATTAAGAAAAATTCCGAATAAAATTAAAACATGAAGATGGTTCTTCATGCATCCAATCAGCATATTTCTGAATAAAAAAGTGACAATCAGAAACTGACAAGTATAAAATTCCTTTAAAAAAAAGGAAAAATTAATGCACAACTATATATAAGTTTTGAATCAAAATGCTAACAATAAGTTGGTACGAAAAGAAATTAAATATCAGTTCTGAATGTAATTTTTTTCTTCACTTCAAGAAGAAGTGATTTCGTCATTTCAAATAAAAACTATAGTTCAAACTTTTCAAATAAATATTAAATTTGAAGATCAAAAGGCTCTAAAATTTGCAATAAAAATGACTACTTTATGACCTGAAAAAAAAAAAAAAAACCCTGCTCTCTTTATTAAACACATTTCGAAAAATTGAAAATCATTAGTAAGATTCTTAAGACCTCAAATTAAGGATTCACTTCAATTGTATTATTTTTCCGATAAATATTGTTTTTAGTAAAGTTATCCCGAGAAGATCTGGAATTCTCTAATTGCCCTAATAGCTGTAACTTCCAATTTTCTAATAAACTGAGAATTCCACTGAGTCACGGACTTCATTTGCCTCAAATAAATCTTCAGCCATAATCTTTATTTACACTTCGCTGAGGTGCTCCACTAGAAATCATCATCAATGTTTCCAACAAAGCATTCGAACATTACCGCCATTCGTATGTTCAATGCATATGTCAGCTATCTTACGAAGAACCTCCATCTTCATTTTTTTTATATTCAAAATAGAATTCATCAACATTAAAAAACCATTCTATTTGAACAAAGAAAAACTTTTCCAAATTTCTCTTACAGCAAATTTTCCATGAAGCAAGAAAAAGCTTAAACGAATTACCAGATTTACTGTCTAATTAATAAACTCTTTGATGTGAATCAAAGAAATTTTCACGCAGAGTATTATCAAATGCATCGGAATGTACCAAAGACACATAGAAAGATCAGAGGGCAAAGATCGTGAATCTAAAAGTGGATTCATTGATCGTCCCGAAAACATTCCAATTTGGGTCTGTAAAAAAGAATTTGAAATTGAACTTATAAAAAAAATTGAATTTATGAAAATAAACTGAAATGAAAAAAAATGAAGACAAACAAATAAAACGGTAATGTCTTCTTGTAATTTTCAGTTAATGTAATAAAAACAAAAAAAAAAAGTCAAATTTAAGATCACCAAATATCTTGTTATTTGCGTGGTCAGCAAATTTTATCAAAGCGGTTTGAGTTATTCGACATGCAAAATGCACTTCAATTAACGTATCGTTCAAACTAGCTAAAAAAAAGAGACATGAATACTTAATTTTAATTCGAATCAAATTGTTTGATTAAGTGATACATGATCTCGATACTATCTTTATCTGCACAAACTATGGAGCGCTCAAACTTTGTATTGTGTCTTGAATATAGGGTTGCTTTTAAAGTTGAAAATTCAATAACAAAAACAGTTGTATTGCAACCGTATATTCAAGATACAATTGTATCGTAGTGTAAGAGACAAAATTTGCTCAGCATATCAAAAAAAAAAAAAATTAACAGGCAGAAGTGAATCAATAACTGCAATTCCAAGCGCAACAATTTAAGCATATCCATCTAAAAGATCTGATGGGCTCTGAAGTTTCTAAAAAAAATAAAATCGAAGTTTCTAAAAAATTATTTCACTTTCTTATTCCTTCATCACTTCGAAAAAAATTTGTTGACTTACTTCCCCACAGAATGGTATTTCATGAATCTAAACATTTTAAAGACAAACAAAATAAAAGCGAGAATCTACATTTTGGAGTAAATATTTTGTTTTTATTCAAAGTCAAAAAAGAATTTATGTTCGATATTTGAAGACAATGAAGACACAATTTATTGGAAATTTTCCTCCACATGACTACAGCACAGTGACAATGAGAAGGTTCTAAATACTGATTTCAAATAATATTCAAATAAAACAAAATTATCCACATTCAAAAAAAAAAAAAAAAGAACATACATGATCTTCCGAAGATCGGCTACAGTAAGCCACCGTTATACCTTTTTGTCATCACTTGTAGTAGATTAGGAGTGTAAAAATTTCATACCAATTTGCTTCAAATCTTTCCCTAATGAGCTGAAAAAATTGAGAAATGCACAGTGCATAAGTAACAAATCTCAAAAAATGTTAATTTCACAATTACTCAAGCCTAGAGTAATGAGATCTCAAAATCCTGTTCTGAGAGCATGATGAGCCAATACTGACACTTTTTTCTCACATAATTTCTTCCCATCTTTTTGTCAAAAATATGAACAACTGAAAGACGAGGAGTTCAACCAACTGAGCTCCACAAAAGATCCTCTGCAAATCTATTAGTCTTAAAATATAATTTTAAAAATAACCTAGAATCACTGATTAAAAACTATCGCTGTTACTACCAATTTCAACTTGAGTTCACAATCATTTCAATTTTCTAGCACAAATTCTCATCACTCTAATTTTACCTTTTCATATTCATCGATGCATCAATTATAGCAATAATGGCTGGAAGTTTAAGAACTGACTGTTGAGAGAAGTGTGAGCTCAAAAATCCAGAACCCATCGCAGAAAATTTATATCCAAAAGATTCGATGCTATAAAAAATGAACAAGAAATGCGTTCAATGCTTTTGTTTTAATTAAGCGATAGATGACTTACTACATAATTATGAGCAGAAAAAATTTACAGTCCGAGCTTCTAATTTTTTATCTTTGAAGAAAACTAAGCATTAATATTCGATTTTCCTGAACTGGAGATATAGAGAACAGAGCTGCAGCAACATGATAATTTTCCTCCGTTTAACTCAAATACTACAGTTCTACTCTAAACGACCGAGAGATGATTAGTGTTCACCTTACAATATCATCAAATGAATATTACAAGTGTACAAAATAATTTGCGATGTGCCCGACTTCTGTACAAAGGATAATCATTTACCTAAAGGATAGCTCGAATACACCACTAGCTTTGCAAAAGCCACACAGATTGTCAAATCCATACCGAAATCCTAACACTTCTTTAAATTTGTCTACACTAGATTTCTTGTCCTGATTAACAGAAAAAGATATCGAATAATATGCATGTGAACTCATCAGAAGGCTTTCGTATGTTTTACATACAAAGCTAACATTTGATTTTGCACATTCTACAACAGTAAATAAGAAACATCGACGATTGTTTCTATATTTTTGCACCGAATATAGCTTGTGAAAAAAAAAAAAATAAAAGGAATCATAAAAAATGATCAAAAATAATAGACATATAAAAACTAACATTTGGCTTCCCATCGTTTTTTTTTTTTTCGCTTTTACGCTGACGTATCTTAACAAATTTGTCACTAACTGATGAAGATACTTCACTATCACTGGTACTGAATCATAGTTTATCCGGTCCAGTTGGTGCATAACGGCCCGCACGGAAAAGTAGTGTGTAGTGTTCATATACTAATATAGCGGTAATTTGTTGAAATACTAATGCATTAAATCGATTGAAATGCTCAACAAACTGAAAATATAGATAAATAAGAGATTACCAAAAATTGATTTGAGAATCCTAGCTTTCAAACTGAACATGAACATGTTAGCACTTATTATTTACTAATATTACAAACAAGATGATGGGAATGATAACTGCTACATAAAATGTCGAATTTACCGGGAATGATATATAATATTGCTACAAAACGAGGGACTTGTATCTTTACTCACTGTACAATATAAAAAGTACGAAGTATGCACAACCTTTAAGACACATTTGTAAAGTATATGAACTTGATTGTGATAATAAAACTTTATAGAAAAGATATAAAAGTAACAACAAAAAAAAAAAAACTGGCACGTTACAACCAAATCATACATCACTAATTTTCCTATTTAATTTTGGCTTCCTTATCTTCATCCTATGTTACTGAAAACATTGGAAATTTTATAAAATCTAGCAAAGCAAAATATGTTTCTTGAGGCAGAGAAAATGATTTAGTTTACTTCGAAATATTCATTCCTATATACAGATCTGTCTAGTTTCGCGGAAAGTGTCTGCCGAATTCTATCAATCAGCATCTCAAACCAGGAATCGGACAGAATTCGATTCCGCACCAAAAATGTTTTAACTGGCATCATTAGCGCAATACAATCTTTTAGGGCGGCATACTCAAGACATTCTCAGTTCATTCACACCAATAATGGAGATGTCTATCAAATGTGGAAATGCTCACCCGAGTAGTAGCAATATCAGGATTCCACACATAACAATGATGGGCACGTTCCGCGAAAGACTAGTTTCGCGGAACGTGCTCGCCAAGTTACCAAGTTACCGAACGACGACCACAGTCCTCGAATTATGAAGTTTCCCAGTACTAAGAAAATCTTTAGGTATACTAAACAGTGAAATGGAGGTTAAAGACTTGTCAAACAAAAGTTTTGTTTCTATTCACAGTTTTTCTTCTTTTTGACGATTTGAAAACTTCTTAAATCTGATCTTTCAGTACGGCTCTCTTATCGGATGGAGTTAAGATAGCCCATTCTTCGCCTTATGTTCATTCTAATTATGATTACAAAGGAAGTCCATCAGCCAACAATATCAAAACTGATCATAATACATTCAGTGCATCACACTTTCTATTAATGAAATAATGCACGCCACAATTTCGTCTCTCACATGTTAATTAGCTCTGTGAAGAGGCAAATATAGCGTTTATTGAGATATTACGTTTAGAATGAGCTCATTGTACTTTGAAGAAGTATCAAAAGCAGCCACAGAAAATATGCTTGCAAATAGATATTTCAATTTGACAAGGTTGTTCCGCATGAAATTTAGAGTTTAGAAAAAAAATAATAAGAAGAATAAAAATTTAGAAAAGAGGTCTGAAAAAGTATAATAAAATGAACTTGTAGAAGCACAATCTAAATAAAACATCAAAAAACAGCTAACGATCCCTTTTCATTAAGGAGAAAGGCCTGAGTTTCGGGAATCAAAGATAGTAAGATGATTGAGAGAAGGGACTCCTTTGTTCACCTTTTATCCGCTCAATTACAGGTATTTTAAGTTAACAAAAAGAAATTATTAAGCATATTTCCGTCTACCAATAAATATATGCATTTTACTTTTCGCAGAATTTGCGTTTCCTTTTATGCTTATGATATTAAATGTCATTTTATTTGGATAGTTGAATATTGTAAAAATGAGCCAGATTTTTTAATTTGATTATAAAAAGACCTGTTTTTGCCTCCCTTCTATTAATTAAGAGTATAAAATATTCAAAGAGTGATAAAGATCATTAAGCTACTCAGTAACACGAATGGGAAAAAGATTTTCATTGCTTTAATGAATTTTGAGTTAAATGATTCTTCATTTAGGTCCTCATCCCTGAATGTCACCTTCTTTCAAGCTCCACTTTCTTCTCTCCGTAATTCCATTATGAAGCAAATTGCAGGATGAATTCGACGTAGAGAAAGAAAACAATGAAAGATGAGGGAACAAGAAGCAACGACCAGGACAAAAACATAGTACGAGACAGCTACGATAACACGAAAAATACTCCCTCTCTCAGAGTTGGGAACTTTTATTTACCGCCACCTCAGAAGCAACCTCCTCCACAATCACTGCCATATCCGCCTTTTCTGCATAACATATTTTGCGGTTGGCCGATATCACAGACACATTCAACGTGATTTTTTTCAGTTTAAAATGTTATAATTGGCGGGAGGTACTGGCGCGTTATCAGAATTAGGTTGGTGGTGCTTGTATGGCTATGGTTATTGGTTGTTCGTCATTTGACCAGTCCGAGTATCCTGAGGGAGTGATGACTTCCTCTCCTGGGAGACATGAATTAATAATATATGGAAGCTTTATTGATTCATTGTCAGCATAGTTATTGTGTGTATAAGCTGTAGTGGCGAAAATGACACATAAATCTCTTCCTTAAGGACTGTTCTCCACTGCTCTGTTTCTTTCTCGATAATTCACAAATGCTATACAAATAGTATATTTTCAGAGTACTGCCATCTTGAAATAATGTTGCTCCATCTTCTTATCTCTCTCACTACATTTGAACTACTTTTTTGATTGAAACAAGGCTCCACAAATATTTTGCTGAGTTAGATAAGTTAATTATTCAAAAATATGAGAAGTAAAAAGGGATAGCACTCACTTTACTTATGATAATCCATCTGTATGGACGGATGAACTATTCAAATTTTGATCTGGTATGCTTCACATATTACCATATTAGAGATGTAATTTTCGGATGGAACTCAAGTTTTCCTTTGTTATTATGATTCACTTTAAACTGACTGAACAAGAAGAAAAAATGGTTAAGATCTGATACAATTGAGATGACTAGTTTTGTGAAATGTAGTAAAATATGATGTTAAACGCATTTATAAGTTAGGTTAGTATTCCAGTTTGTAAGAGCTAACTTCAAAATACTATAGTCCTAAGCATGACTTCACACTCGTTAAGGAAAACTTTGAAAAAATCCTTCTATTTTAAATTTCAGTCAAAATCTTGCAATATGAATAATTGGTTAACAAAGTAGAGTGAATAACACCATAAGCAGCCGTAGATTTGCGATTTATTTACCGATTCATATTATAAAAAGAAAATTGGTTCTGCAAAAAGGAAAATCGTTCCAAAGAAGTTATTATTATATATTGTCGTAGCTATTTTATATTATCTTTGATGAAAGTGTGTTGATTTTAGCTGTTATGGAGTATCTGCTGGATTCCCGTGTGTTTAATTATCTCCCATTTACGATATGCCCAAATACGAGGAAGAATATCATATCAATAGTGATGAAAATCGTTACAGTTAACATTTATTCCTTCTATTTCATCACATTTGTGCTACATTTTAATTATGCAAGACTACTGTTTTTTGAAGTTTTCGTTTTAAAAACACTTCTTAAACAATCTGGCATTGCTTTTCGTTAAGATCTGTAGCTATAACAAGACTTGGCTTTTAATATAGAAAATTTAATTCTCTTACATTGTTTTCGTAGGTGATTTGCTGACTATGAAATGTCCATGAAAGATAGTTTCTGTGTATCTTCTAGTTTACATAAATATAGGTACGGGTTCAACTTGTATCATATTCCATATGTGGGTGTTTGTAGTTAATATGAAACTTCGATTAGATTTATTTAGCATAAATATTTTCACTTTCGTTTTTTCTTGCATTTTGAAGACTCGAAAAAAAATTTTAGAATATGTACTTACCTTAAACCTTTGGCTTTTCATAATTTCCAAGATGTTCACAGGCGGCGGATTGGTTATGTAAAACTCGGGAACTACAGCCATTGATAGAAAATCACCCAACGTTGGTTGTATCAGAATTCGTCTATACAGTGCTTTGGTTATTGTCATTCTTCTGTGGTAATATTTTACTGTATAATTCCTTTAAACTCTTCTGGGAACTATGTTTCAAAACATCAGGACTTTTTTTAAACACTTTCATGAATATTAGTTTTTTCTTAGTTTAACGGTTCGGTCGTTTCTTAGGTTCGGCCACTTCTTAGTTACACTTCCACTCCATACTATTCTAGCGTGATGGACAAGTTTCAAAATTTTAAGCTCTACGTTATGGTTCACGTTATGTGTACACATGGGTTGGTGTTTATTTATTGGCCGTCTTTACTGAAAGTATAAAGTTTGCCGATGAAAGTATGAACGTTATGTTCTACAGTCAAACAATGTTAACAGTTATGGGGATGCGCACTCCGCTTTATTTATTATGTGGTATCTACCACACATTGTTTTACACTTCATATATTATAGTGAAAAGGTAATTCATATTTCTTTCGCTAATTCATTTCAATTTCCACTTTCGAATTAATATATTGCTTCTTATATTAAAGGCGGAGTTTGATTACATTGCAATACATGCTGTTTTTTTGTGTTTAATATGCAAGCTTTTGCAGAATTCGTTTGAAGTGGTGGGGTGAAGCTGCAGCAAACGGTATTCTGGTATTCTTGTTGTCGTTGCCCTTACAAATGATGGGTACAAAGTTGCTTTGGTGGCAGTGGTATAATGGTGACCCACGTCTCATAAACACGTATGTACATAAATATGAATGAATATGTGTATATTCCAAATAGCTATCTCCAGTTTTCCATTATATTATCAGAAGCATTTTAAATAGCATTAACAAACTACTGGTCTTTAAGAGAATTGTTCAGATATACATTGCTTGTCACTATTTACTTTTCTAGGTTTTATTCTGTCCCACTAGTTGTGTTGGCATGGTATGCAATACTAGGGACATCATTCAATGCCAGTTTATACTTGTTTCGGAAAGGACTTCTTCGGAAAGAATATGACTGGAAAAGGTTCTAGATCTTTCTTTATTTTTAAATGCTTTTTATGGGTAGTGCTGTTTATCTTTTGACCGTTCGGAAATTTTAATTTTTTCTCTATATAGCTAATCCGTTTCAGTTCTTGTATATGGTAATGATTTAATGATTTTGCACTCACTAGCATCAGTTAAATTAAGGTGGTTAAGTAATTATTTGTAATAGCCTTGTGCGAATTAGATTATTTATGTTATAGATGTAAAACTAGAATTTGCGGAAAGCAAATAGGTTTTCAGATTTGCTACTGAATTCTTTTGTGTATTTGGTGCAGCTTTGTTTGCTATTTGCCTTGCTACATTGCAGTACATAATTTTCTTCCACATTCTGCATGATATTTTTCAGGTAAATTTTTTTAATGAATTTGTTTCTTCTTATTTGAGATATAATTCCTCAAATGCGTAATTACTTTTTTTTCAGATCCATTCCATCTTTCCACTGGCACTTCTGCTTGTTATTTATGCAATTACAGTATTGAAAGCACTGCTTAATTCTAAAAGGGATTATGACTTGCTTGATATAGGTTGGGAATTTACCTTGCACATTACACGGCATTTTAAATAGATAAAAATACTGATTTGAAATAGGTATGTGCATAAATAGGTTGTTATTATATATATGTATATATATATATATATTGCAACAGGAAAAGATCAGTTGATCGAAATTCCATTGGGTGAAAGATGTATTCGTGCACTTGCTGAACTCTCAATTGTGGCAATTCATTTCTTGCTTCATATGTTATTGGCAGTATTTAGTTCCCCTGAGAACATCATTTCAGAAGGTATACATCAGGCGGTCGGTTCGTGTGGTGAAATGGAGCAAATTTTTTCACCTTTTGGTTTGGTAGGATTTCAGTTTACATATCTTTTATCCACTTATAATCTTTTGTAATTAGTCAGCTACAAGAAAAACTGGCTTTGCTGATTTTATTGTATCCCTTATGAATTTCATTCTGAGCGAAATCATAGCGTTTTTGTATGTATGTATGTTGGAGTTTTATGGTTTTCAGCCTTTATACCGCAGAAAATATTTTTGTATAGAAGAACAAAAACAGAAGCTATTCGATCTTCATTGTATTCCCGGCGGACAGTTGTCGGAAATAGTAAGCGGTGAACCATTAGAGTACTATGCAATTTGTGGCACGAATTTCGAGAATCGAGCAGGATATATTACTTTCATATGGTTCATCTTATTGGGCTTAATAACTTGCAAATGAGGAGTTTATGAGTACGAAATTGAGACGTTTTAGATTACTAATGAAATGTAAAAAATAATTATTTAACTAATCAATAAAGAATATTAGATTGAATTTTTTTTCTACTTCATTGCTAAAACATTTTTGTGAAGTTTCAGTTCTATATAATATTTTATTATAGGGTATATTGTGTCATGGTCCTTTTCATAATCTTTTATGTCACACTTCTTTGTGTAGTTGAGGTACTATTTTATCTTTTCTTTTTCCACTCTAAGGGTAGTTTTGAAATTTATTTGCAGTGTCGGTTTGCTTCACTCTAAGATTTCTTGTCATAAAAGCCACTTACTACTACCTTTGCAGATCAATAAACCAAAAGCATGTTCTTGCACCAAAACTATGCAACACAGCGATGATAGGTACGGATTCAAATCATTGAAAAACTTCAGCTTATATGAAAAAAAGTTGAATGATAGATTTTCGCAGCGAGCATTGGATGACACTGAACTTCGGCATCGGTTAACTCCTGTCAGTAAAAAATCACGTCTGCCCATGCCTAATCGTTTAGTGGACTATCCTTCAAAATCGTCAGCATGAGCTGTTTGGACATTCGCTCTGATATTATTGTTCTGTAGATCGAGTTTAATATTGTTGATTTTTCCGGTGTTTTATCAAGAATTTGAAAAACTGATGAACTTATTTTGTTGGAAAAGTGAAAAATTGAATTTTAGTTATGCATAGTTACTATTATGATGTCTCCTTTTGTGTTCGTTTACACAAGCGCATTTTGTAAAAAATGATGCTTTCGAAATCATGTTTTAGCCTAATTTGGCCTGCTGATTTGTATCTTAGAGCTTTTTTATGCTTCATTTAGTTAATTTAGTAACCAAACCGTTTGTTCATTTATTGGTTGTGCACCATTTCAAGGATATGCGTTGTAACTCTATTTCAACTCCTTCATATAAATATTGATTTAGGATTTTTCGACATCTGATGTTGTGCAAAATATCCGAACTGATTTCAGTTGCACTTGATTTACGTCATAAATGACACTTATTTTTTGTTTGAAAAGCTAATAGCTATTATAATTAGATAAAGTTTAATTTAGTTTAAGTTTTTGAATTGATTGAAGGATTTTTGTTACCTTTTTACTTGCGATGAACAATTTCGGCTGTTTTTTTTTTTGTGCCATTCATAATTTCAGTGATCATTCATATAAATAGTTAATGGTCACAATTATAATTTGAAATTTCAGTTGCAGTTTCCTTTTCAGTTATGTGCATAATTTTAGGTACCTTCGGGTAACATGTCGAACATCACTCGAGCAGAATTATGTTCTAGAAACGGAGCAACATTGGTAAGCACTTTTTTATATGTATAGTACATGTTAAAGTATGGAACATTAAAACATAATACTTATTCAGAGAAATGAACTGTAAAAAAGGTAAATGAAAGAAAAAGAAAAAACAAAATTAGGTAGAAGTTTCACTTGTAAAAAACTGCCGAGTTAAAATAATTAAAAATTTCACTTACAATACTTTCATTTTTTCATGAAATGCTTTGTTCCACCACGTTCTCAAACATTTGTTTTTATTTCATTAAAATTAACAGTTCTTCATTATACATTTGTTAAGTTTGGCAGATATCGAGTTCGCCTATTAAATACTTCCCAGTTGCCTGTAATTAGCAGTATATCATGGATGATGGGAAAGGAAATCGTGGTAATCGGTCGCCTTTTAGAATCCGATTGCGAAGTTTCTTTAGTAAGTTTTCTTGTGTGCGTTGACAAATCTTTTGAAGTCGGACCGTATGGTTTCATTAACAGGGCTTCACAGGATGTATATTATATATTTAATTGGATGGATGTAGGGATTATGGTGAATAGAAATGTCTGAAAAAAAGTTCTGACAAAGTATTATATATTTTGTCGAATTGTTTAAATTTTTCATTATTTCAATTCAAGGAGAAGCAGCTGTAGTATTTTTTCTATAAAATTTTTCTGGGATAAGCATTTTAATGTTTATTTGTTCAGGCTACGGATGAAGAAAAAAGAAATACCCTTGTAGATTCCAAAGATCAAGTGCAGGATTGTGAAGGGCAGTGTTCCGAAAATAGTTCTGAGCTTAGCACTTCACCTCTGAAATATGAATTTTTAACTTTATCGAAGTTGCAGGTTTTTTGTTTATTTATCTTTTGGTAAGGATTTAATTTGTAAATGCATTTGTGAGAGATCATCGTCCTTAATTTCACCGTTATACGTGAATTGTTGGAAGTGAAAACAGTTTTGTGTATAAAATTTAGTTATAAATCATTAGATCATTAAACTTATGTAGTCTTAAAGTCACAGACATTGTTTCATGTGTTACTGGAGTATTCATGATTATAAGTGATACTTTGTATTGGTGTTTTTGATGGATTTTAGATAAAGGATGCACCGAAGATTTTAATCGACAAATATTGTTATTCTTCTACACTAAAACAGTTTGCTCTGTCTTCGCTGAAAGCTTCAGAAGCTCGATCTCTTGCTGGCATGTATGCTGTGTTTAATTCAGAATAATTCATAATGGCTTGTTCATATTTTTGTTTTTGAGCATATTGAAAAACTTTAATTAGTAAGTATTTGAATTTAGGTTTATTACCAATGGCGTCCCATTTGATAGGGAAACGCTGCCAAATCCAGATATTTGGATTTCCTGTGATATTAGTGACTACCTTCATACATGTTGGTTTGGTATATGTAAGACAAACGATGGCATTGCGACTTACCATGCTAGAACATTGCGTAAGTTATTTTCTAGTTTATTCTCTGTATAAATTATGATGGTACATACAAAAATATTGCATTGAAATATAGATTAATTCAAGTGCACTTTGTACTATTTTCTATCAGCTGCTAGTTTAATCACTGATCGCTTAAGGAAAATAGTGTAGGACAAACTTTTTCAGCACGAGATTACACAGACCCTATCAAATTTTTGGAAGATTACAAAGAACGTTTTCGTGATTCCTACAAGGCAAGTTTTGTCTTTATTTCCACTGGCGCTCTGCTAGGGTAATTTCTGTGTAATCAGTAATACAACCATGATATTAAATATTGCTTCAAGAGAGTAGTGATATGTTTCCCAATGACTTTGTTCTGTGCTGCTTAAATTTTTCAGAGATTTAGGTCTCTCCAAACACAGCTTATTGTGTGTATGATGTTGTTCCGAAAACAGTTACAACCAATCGAGACAACCAAAACAGATTGTCTGGATTTGTAGAGCTTCATGTATCATGGACATTTCTAAATATGAATCATTGCTCTGATGAAATACTTTCGAAACCTGTTCCGTCAGCTTCGGTCGTTGCTGTATGTTTCAATTTTGACAAAAAATTAATAATAGACAACTTGATATTATATTACCATTATTATTACTAATTATTATTATTGTTATTATTATTATTATTATTATTGTTATTATTGTTATTGTTACTATTATTATTATTAATTATTATTATTATTACTACTATTAATTATTATTATGACTCCGGAAATAATAGGAAAATTTGTGAAACTTTTTAAATATTTACAAAACTATTAGATCCTGTTTTTCTTAAAAGCTGATTTTATATTGGAAAATATTAAGTTCATTTACAGAAGATATCACCAGGTTGGCTTGATGTACGCTTGCCACACCTTGGTTTAGTTGTTGAGCTGGAACTGGTGCTTGCCTTAGGACGTGCATTGAGAACCGGCAAAGTGACTTGGTCAAATGTGGATTTCGAGCAAATACAGGAGGATGAAAAGCTCATAAAATCTGCGTTACAATCTCTGCTTAATCAAACCTCACCTTTTTCTAGAAGTATGTTAAAACATCTATAATTTGTACAAAACATAGACGAGAAGCTTATTAAATTTGGTTAGATAAGCAAAAGTTTATTATTGAAATTGGTTTCGAACTTTGCAAGCGAGTTAATTTCGGTCGAGTTATGATACTCTGATCTATCTGAGAAAAGACTAAGTGTTCGAATTATAGACAAAGATTTGGAGGATATTCCACTGGATTTACCTCAAGATTTCACGGAAGAACTGTGGCTCATATTGCGATACTGTCATTCAAATCAAGATCTCACAAAAGCTTTAAAATATGTTTTTGATGCTTTGAAAGGAGGATATAAAAATACCTTGGTTAGTTTTCTTATCGAGACATTAGATCTGCAAATTGTTCTGAACATGTGAAAAAAAAAAAATGAGGAGTTCGTGCTAATTTTAGGTACTTACAAATAATAGATGTACGATGGCACGTTTATTGCGTGATGCATGTAACAGCGACTTGCTATTACCACGTTTGGAGGGCCTTACACCGATACAAATTTATTTGGAAATGGGTCTGGAGCGGTTGCGAAGAGCTTGTATCGATGAATTTTTAAATAGAGGTTACTCTTTGTATTTTTTATTCCATAAGCTTTTACGATATGAAATGCAGTCCTTAATTCCATTTCAATTCATTCACAGAGTATTTTGGGTCTGCTGCCGAAATTGATGCTGTTTTTGATTGCTGCGCAGGGAAAGAACCACAGGATCAGGCCGATGCATTATTCTTGTTCTATAATAGTCTTTTGGTAGTAAATACATGTAAGCAATATCTTAGATTGGATCGACATCATATAAATATCATTGCAAGGTAAATTACATATTTTAGTGGAATGGTTGTATCTAGTGCTGTGAAACCAAAGCTTTAATTTAATAGCATAGTTGAGATCTAATCGCTTAGAATATTGAATTTGCATTTCAATAATTATTTAATATTTTTTCTGTTTTAATTATTTTTCCTCTGCGCAGGCAAGTCCTTGAACAGTACAGCAAACTGAACATATCTCCTACGGCTGATGACATAACCGAACAAATGATTGAAGAGATGACTTTTACATTAAATTCCAGATTGTCATTTACGGACATCTTCAAACCTGTACATGAAAAGTAAACTTTCACCCCAAAAATGTCACGAAACTTGCAGTACAACTTGTAGAACCAAAAAAAAAAAAAAAATCGAAGTTCATTAATTTATGCCTCAGATTTTTTTTATTTGAGTAGGAAAATACATAGATCAAAATTTATTGCATATGAAAGCACAATTTGTAGTGCATAACTGAAACCATATAAAATCTTTTTTCAGTAGATTTCCCAAAATTTGGAAATCAGAAGTTACGGTTGAAACGACTAATAAAGAAGGTTGGTTAGCGCGCTGCATGATTTTGTGTTCACGTACTTCTTGGTTACCGTTTATCAAAAATCCTGGAACTAACGATGTTGCATCTAACAGACAGAATGCTGATGGGGGAAATAATATTGTAGAACTCGATAGCGCAAAGGTTTTTTTTTTTTTTTTTTTTTTTTAAATTGGAATGGTCACAGTAATGATTGTCAAAATCGTTTATCTAACCAATTCAGCACATGTGCATGTTTTTGTGGGCATTATCTTCTTGAGAGTCGGTAGAATCATAATTTTGAATACTTTTCTCTATTCTTAGTGACACTCGAATTATATTGGTCCTTTTATGTTAACATTAAGCATTCCTTTCTCGCACATAGCGCACTTTTTTTCTGAAAATATTTATCATTCACCACATCTGTACGAAGTTTTCTTGTTAAGTATTGGTCGTGTAATAAATGTTCTGATCACACGTCTTTGTTAAGGAAGAACTGATTCTAGCATTGATAGTATAGCATAGTATAATTATGGAATCCTCGTTTTCAGTTTCTTTTCGATGTTACAGACTTTAAAAGTATTAATTTGATATTTGATATTCTCTAATTGCATGATGTTTGTTAATTGTACATTTATAACTTATCATCCGCTATGTGAATGTATTTGCTATCTTTGGGCATCTTTCTGATCTGAGTTTTATTGATGAATTCCGATCTTTATTTGTTTGAACAACGAAGTGCTAAATTTTTACATTTTTATATGATTTTCTGCTACTAATATTTCAGAAAATTAAGGACCAGACAGTGCTTCAAAATTCCATGTCAGAAAAAATTTTTTGTTCAAGCGATGAAGAAAAATTAAAACTGCATGCAACTCTACGTCATTACGAGATCAGTGTCGTTACCGGCAGTTTCACCACGCCATTATCAAGATATTAATATTATTTTAATCTATCATTGTTATTTAGTTAAAGTACAAGAGATTATTAGAGAAATTCTTAAATGTAATTTGAGACTTCCATAAACAAAAATCAGGGAAGATATGACAGGGTTAGCCAATTTTAAAAAAGTTCAAGACATGATTTCATTATGGCGTATTGAATTGCTATCAGTGTTGTCTGAGTTATTTAATAGCCCTTACCGGTTAAGAATGATAAAATGAAAATTTTAAAATTCCAAACTATTGTTGCAATTGGTAGTGAAGCAAATTGATATATGCATTATTTCATATCTCACACTGTTATTATTAAAGTTATTCAATAAAAATTTAAGTCAGCTTTTCTTACTTGTTTGCGATCGTTGATACTCCACTGGTATTTTCATATTCTCTGTCTTGCTATTTAGATTTACATTTGGTTTTTTACTTTCTGTCATTTCTATACCCCAAGATTTACAGACTTGTGTGAAACTACTGTTCTTTCCAATTTAAATATGCCCTTGCAAAGATTCCAGTGATTGTATAATGATTGCCGCATAGCGCTTAAAATGTTGTATGTGTTTTAACGGCATGTAAATTCGAATTACAATTTGTCATTTTGACTTCAGGAGTTATGATGAAAGGTTGCGATTGGGATGGGCTACATGAGTACGAAGCACAGTTTTTTGGTTTCCTACCAAAAGGATTTACGGATGTTGGTTAGAATTTAATAAGTTTTATCCTCTTGAGTGATTTAATTTTGGTCTCAACAGTCTAGGTTGTTCCAGTATGAGATATATGTGTGAGTGATGTAATGTTTGTTTTCGGGATGCAGTAATTATAACACTGAGGAACACAGTTTCCTGGAATTTTGGGTAATTTTATATCCAATAGTTTAAAGACTCTTAAAACCAAACCGATTTCGAGAGCCTTATTCTCATTCTATTTTTTTTCAGTTTATAATTTAATTCTGGAGGAATGGGCAGAAATTGTTGAGGAAAAATTAATGTCTGAATTGCCACTTGATGGTGTGAGCGGTGAAGTGAAACTGCATTTGAAAATGGAGCTTGTCAATATGATTGGCAAAAACAATATTCTAAACTCGCTCATGAATAAACTGGAGGTTATATGAACATTTTACTGTAGATTAAGTAGAATTTGTAATTCAATGTTACCTCTTATTCAAATCATTAAAAGTTTAGTCAGCATGACGACGACCGTTGTACTGAAGTTATTAAATTGCTATTTTATACTTGATTTATTGATTTTAGAAAGCATAACTTTTCCCAAAAAACAATTTTACTTTTAACCAACACGCACTGCTTGAGCATGAGATTCCAGGCATATACGCTGGAATACGTTTTTCGCATACCTGACGAAGTAACACTTCCCGAAGATAGACCGAATTTAGAAATGGATAAGGAATGGTCCGTAGAAGTTGCTGATATGCGTAGGCAAGAACTTGAATACAATATTGTTAAAGTGTGTTTTTATGAATCAAGACATGGATGATGTAGTTGTGAAATGGTAATTAAGTTCTAATCACGAGGATGAAACATGAGGGGAAGATATGGAAAATGTTTAATTAGTAATCTTCCTTAATTATCAAAACATGGATGTTGTAGTTGTGAAATTTTTTTTTTTTTTAGTTACGTTTAGCCAACGAATTGTTCGACAGAGAGATCACAAACAACCTGCAAGCGATTCAGTTGTGGAAAGCTGTGCAAAAGATTAGCAATGGTGGTAATTTCACGCCCAATGATTTTCCTAAATGGGTGGAATAATTACTCTAGAATTCTGACAGCTCACTAAATTTCATAACTGACAGCTTGTTATCTTTATCTATTGAAAAGTCATAATGTTGGATTATATTCGTTATAAGTACAGTTGTGTGTGATCTCCTACGAAAAAAAAAAAAAGTAAAACTGTATTTCCCTATCAGTGACAAACTAGTTAAATTAACTATTTACATAATTAAGCAGAAACTCAGACATATTTGGAGATCATGCATTATACAACATTGAAATTGGAATACTTTTCGTCGCTTTAGATGTGATACGTTTTGTGAATTAGAAGATGGTTTAGCCTTATATTCAATAACTGGGAAGTCTGTAAATCATCTCTTAATTCGTGAGAGTTATCTCCCGTCGTTCATGACGTTAAAGCTTTCTTACAAAATGAAGTGTAGAATAAAATGAAATATTTCAGTTCTCTGGACTGTAGTGTATTTTGGTAACATTTGGCTAAATTTTGTAACATTCCACAGGAAAGACACTATCAGCTTTCTTTGTTAAAAATATGGCAGGGACTATACAAAGTTTTCTCCATAACTTGCCGAAAGGATAAAACGATGAGCGCTAAAACGAATGCAAACCGTTTTGAACTTGTGTTTATGTGGTTGCTATAAGAAATCAATCTGGGGGAACCATCATCAAATATGTGGAAAAAGAAGTTTAAAATCCGTTATGATTTGCAGCATAGTGCACTGAGGGGGATATAAAATGGCAGTAATTATAACACACACGCTAATAGTACCGTTTGCGCTCATCACGAATTTAATATATTAAGTTAGCTTTTTTGCAAATAGCCAGATAGGTATTCTAATTATTAATCAGAACGATGTTATCCTCAATGAATGAAATGCTGAAATCGAAAATAACTGGCCTTTATTATAACTTCACTACTTGTAACATTATCTTGCATATACAAAGCTATAAGATGTACTTTAAAAAAAGATTAATAAATAGTTTTTCATGACAACAAAGAAATTAACGACTCGAAATAAAGAATTATTAGGACGTCGTTTGATTCAATTTCTTTAACAAAAGTACTACTAAGAAAGATTTTATCCTTTTTTGGAATGCAAGAACTAACACAATTATTGCAGAATGAAAAAGGAAAAACAAAGCAAAAAATATACGTGAAAACAATATGTAAGAGGTTAGCGAAAGTGATGAACAAATAAAAAAGAGTTTTGACCATCATTCGAGAAAATCACGGAAGTTCTAAACGGGGTCAGAAGTTTTTCGCAATTATGTTAACACATTGGAAGTCAACTAATACTTTTTATGCATAAAATAAATTTCGTGGCCGTTATGCTTAGGGCATGGTAATATTTGATTCAAATTCGATCAAAGAAATGATTCAATGGAACCAAAAAGGCAAAAGAACAGTGTAAATTTGCTGATTTTTTCAAACTAATGCCGACACTCGACTCTCCATATGATTTCGCGCCAAATTCAAGCAATTAGAGATTCTTCGACTACAAATTTTAGTGAATATTATTGCAGTATTGATTTCTGAGATTTACATTGTGGAAGGTTGTCTCTCGAAGCATATTCCTGTGCTTTCATCGGCCTTAAATAAAGTAATTTTAATTTTGAAATGCTTTTCAAAAAATATAACTATTTTTTATAACTATTTCAAATTCTATCTCAAATATCGCATATACCATCACTGGACATATGGAACTAAAGGAAGGAAAAAGACATATGGAACTAAAGGAAGGAAAAAAAAGAAAAACTCAGGTGAATTTTGTAAACTAGTACTACTTCCTATCAATTTTGTTCCAGATAAAGAAAGAAACGAAAACACAGTTTTATACGAGGAATATATCTTACAAAACATAACTTGAAAGACTCCACAAAAATAAATAAGAAAGTTTATTCCGATGATCTCCGAACCTGGAAAGGCTCCACGGAGAACGCATTATTGGAGAAAAATTCGGTTGGCAAGCAAGAATTTGTCGAAAGATCGATATAGTCCGGCACAGCTGCAGTAATTTCAGAAACATATTATCATAGCAGAAAGAATATAAATATGCAAACAAGAAATCTTATTAATCTCTCAGCACAAAAGAATAATACCTGGATCTACAACATCCAAATCAAGTTCTTTTTCTGCTTCAGCTATGATTTGCCCAGCTGGTGTAAGTACAAATGATTCGACAGAATTCAAGAATGAGCTTGAAATCGTCATATCCTCATCGATGTCACCAACGTCTTCTGTATAATCATCATTCAATCCAGTAGCAATGCTTGATGAAGTCAACGAAATATTCTCTTGCGAAGATGCAACTGGAATATAGGACCCCAGCTTCGATTTACATTTTGCTAAAAATTTTTTGATGTGCTTAAATAATTTAAGTTTAAAATAATAAAATAAAATAATTTAAGTAAAACATTTAAGCAGAACATACACAAAGGAGAAGTTATTCCATCTGAACGTATTCATTTATTACTTTATTGCCTTTACCATTCTCTTTTTGTTAGATTATTATGTATAAACTTATGTTACTACGTTGAACAGAAACAAGTTAAGCCATAATGATTCTATTAATTATCTTGCAAAAGGGTAAAACGTTTTAAAAATATAAATTTGATACGAGCAGTTATACATGCATTATGAAGTTCCTTCAATGTATTTGCTTCAACGGAATCAATTACTTCGAAAAAATTATGCTAGAATCCAAAAAACACGCAACAGAACATGACCCTCTATTAAGAAGTGCAAATATGAAATACCTGCACTGGATGGCTTACGACTTCGTTTTCTTTTTCGTGTCTTCATAATATCAACATTATTAACTGCTGCATTTTCTAAAAATTCCACAATAAAACAATGTCCTCTTTCTCTCGCCACATCCAACGGCGTACGTCCAAGCTAGAAAATTCCATAATTCCAAATATAAAACAAGAAAAACTGTATATCCCAATATTCTTTCTTGCAAACATACTTGGTCACTTATTTCACTGTTTGCACCAAACGACAACAATAAATTAACCATATCCAAATAGCCTTCACGGGCAGCCAAATATAAGGGCGTTTCTCCCTAAAGTTTCAAAATAACAGGAATATTACCTTTCAAAAAACATGGTACATGGCACAATTTGATAGATATGAGCCTTGATTATATCAGTTGACCAATGCAGTCAAGTAGCAATGAAGAGAACGACTAAAGAACCAAAACAAAATAGTCAACCTTGGTATCTTCGGTATCCAGTTTAAGACCAAATGAGTATAATATTGGCAAAAGATTGACTCGTCTGTTAAGTGCAGCATAATGAAGAGCAGTACGTCCAAAAATATCAGTCAGAGTCGGATCATCTTTTTCGGACAATATGTCTCGAGTAAAAATACAACCATCACGCTCTGGCTGCTTCTGAAAAACCGCTATAAATGATGCAGATTTTTTTGACATTATATCGTTTTCAAATTCTTTCACATACCAATGAAGGGTCGAATTCTCGGTAATTATTAGAAGTCATTAATCGTGATACACCATTTTGTCTGGAAATCAAAAAATCAGATAGGTACTGCTAGAAAATACCTAGAAATAAAGAAAAAAACTTGAAAATAGCAGATCTTACACGTTTAATATAGTTCATAATATATTATTTGAATTAAAAGATTAAACAAAAACAGCTGAATAACTCCACCGAAACCAAAAATGACATACGAAGAAATCAACTGTGGGGTGAAAGTATCATTTCGTACTTTTGTTTGTCGATAGTACTCGGTGTACATGAAATCAAGGATGCAGCGTGCACACAGATCAGAGACGTGAGCAAATTTGACAGTTAAAGTAAGTGGTGTTTGCCCCAAGACATTTACAGCCCGCAACTATAAAAATTTATATTTAATAAACTTTGAAAATAATAATGATAAAATAGCAAAAAACTGGAAATGTCTATTTCAGTAAGACCAAACTGAAAACAAAATTCTCCACAACAACAGAATTCACGAAGGCATGAGAAAACGGTATCAACTAATAGTGATAATACTCGCCTTCAAACATCAAACTTTTACCAAGCATTACCAAGCTTCCGGAAGCTGCATACATGTGAAGCAGACTACTCATATGTTTCCTTTTTTGATAATCTTGATCATAAAACACCTACATTGCATCGGTGAGTACTTAACAATAGACGAATAATCTGATCATTGTTAACAACCACAGCATGATGCAAAGCTGTATTCTTATCCGAATCAAAACAATTCACATCCGCTCCATGAAGCACCAAAAACGATACTGCTTCAATATCGTTACACTTTACTGCTTTTAATAAGTCTGGTCCCAAATGACAGTTCTCATTACCATTATCTATAAAACTAGCATAACAATTAATTTAACTGTTCAAACTTTTGCAACATGTTTTAAAATTCGATTCAATTTCTACATCAAAATTCAAAAAAGCTTGAATGTCATAAAAAAAATCGAACAAAAATTATTGGAATACAGTACAAATTCAACCCGTATCCTTGTTTTTTATTTAATTTGTTTTTTTCCTTCTTGTTATCTGAACTAGCATGCTATAAGTATTTTAGAAATAAGGCAAAATGAAGTAAACAGAAAGTGTTTCAGTATATAAAACTATATGAAAGATCAAGGGAACTCACCGCTGAAGTAAGCATCTAGACTAATAAGTATCTTCTGTTCATTGTTTTTTGCTGTTCGGTAATGATTCTTGAACTAGAAAAGATGTATCTATTCATAACTGAATTAAAATTGTGCAAAATCTAAATTGCAACATTACAAACTAACATCTTTTGGCTGTTCTCGCCTGCACGAAGTTGAATTTGAGAAAAGCCTAGACAGTGGTGGTAATCCATCCCTCCGACAAATATCCTCATTGAGAAGGTAGTCTTCAACGGACGATACTGTTGACCAACTCGTGGCATTACTTTGCAAAGAAGCTAAAAAAAAGTTAGATCATGTATTTTGATTATAAAAACCTAAGCTTCTGAGCAATAAATTTATGTAAAATATGAAATACAGTTTGTC